TTGATTGTTACGAACAACATTGCTCGTAGGTCAAAGTGTTCTTGTTTGTACTCATCGGAACGCGTACACCTGGTTTGTTCCATAAAACTAGAAGTTCTTCAACTAATGGCTTCAGATAGACATCAATATCGTTGCAAAGTTGCCTCGGACCTTGGATGAGGATCGGCATCATAATGAACTTTCGCTTCATGCATAACCATGGAGGAAGGTTGTAGATACATAGAGTGCTGACCAAGTGCTATGACTAGTGCTCGCTCTCCAAAGCGGATTCATACCATCTGCATTTTAAGGCGAACCTTAAGTTTCTAGCCTCATTTGCAAACTCGGAAATTCCACATCCTATCGCTCTCCTTTGGGACCCATCATTTGGGTGTCTCAAAGATATTGTCTACCTTACGGTCTTCTTTATACCACCGCAACAACTTTGCATGGTCTTTATTTACGAACAACGTTTTAAGCGTGGTATTATAGGAGCATACCACATAACCTTGGCGAGGATTTTCTTTCTAGGACGTTGTTCACCCTCGCGTCACCGGGATCATCGCGCTTTGATCTTATATCGCGATGCTTTACATACCGGGCATTCATCCAAATTCTCGTATTCATTGCCATGGTAGAGGATGCGATCATTAGGACATGCATGTATCTTACGGATTTTTAATCCCAAAAGGCGAACAACCTTTTTTGCTTCGTATGTAGTGGTGGGCAATTCATTTGGCTTGGAAGCATCTTCTTTATGAGGTTCAATAAATTCCCAAATGCCTTGTCGGATACACTATTCTTTGCCTTCTCTTGTAGCAATTCCGGTGTTGTACCCGACTTTTTTTTGCCCCTCTTCGACCCGTCGGGTATAGCAACTTCCTATGATCCTCAAGCATGCGCTTTCGAACTTAACTTTCTCTTTTCACTTTCCCATTCTTGTTGTGCATCACGAATGGCATCGTCAAAGCATCACCGAGATCATCTTCTACCGCTACCTCTTCTTCATCTCCCCCATTGTAGTATCATCAAAGGCACCATCTTGAGCAATAATGTCATCAATGTCTAAATCTTCTCCTTCACCTTCTACCATCATGACCCCGCTTTCTCCATGCTTAGTCCAACATATATAGTTTGACATGAAACCTGACTTAAGCAAATGTGAATGAAGACTCATTGAGCTTAAATATTCCTTTAAATTCTTACATAGGGCACATGGACAGCACATGAAACCATCCCGCTTATTTGCCTCGGCCACACCTAAGAAATAGTGCAAGCCCTCAATAAAGTCTTGGGAGCGGTGATCGGCATTGTACATCTAATGGCGTGACATAATCTGTATTACACGACAAATTATGAAAACCTTGAACATAATTAAGTATTTTATTACACAACATAGATGACACACACACGGTTGATTAATTAACTAAGCCTGGCTACAACGTAAGCAATCCCAACTATTACTAAACAAACTAAAACTACAATGCACATCAGTAACATAATTATTTCGTGATCGTACGCAACTAAAACAAACAAATCATTTTTTTGTTGAATATCAATAAGCTTCTCCTATTTGGCTCCTTTGCCTCATCGCCAGCACCAGATAATTCTGCGTATTTAGCATAATCTTCCTCCGGTACCAACCATCGCATCCATTGCCCTCCCACTTTGAAATTAAAGCCAAAAATATTTAGTCAAAATATTCAAGAAAAGCAGTCAATTAGCCATAATAATCAAATGCGTAAAAAACTCACATCGCGATCTGGGCACTTGTAGAAAACACGACCCTTGTTGGGTCCCTGTCTCTTGACTCGGTACTCCATCACAATCTTCTGCTTACACTTGCCGCAGATAATGAGAGGGAGTTCTGGCCTCAGTCGTTTCGCAACCGAACGAGAGGCCGAGGATCCGGTACCAGTTGTCATCTACTTTCTATACTTATTTTTGCAAACTACTGTAAATTTCACATTTTCTAAAATAATATATTTAAACAAAACTAAAATTATTTATTTATCTTACTAAACCATGAAATATGTACTATGTATAATAGTAAAATACCAAACTATCAAGTGATTTTACTATTGTAAATCATCATGTGATTTTGAGCTAAAAATGACATAGAAATCACATAGCTCAAAAACATGTTTCAATAAATAACCATCCGTACTAGTTGACATTGCTTACGCGATCATCTCGGCGAGCATTTCTCCACCGGACGGCACCGTACTTGGCCAAGGAAGAGCTCCGATTCTACGAGGAAGGGAACACGGTCTTCCACGACCGTTGTCGCTCTCCCTCGTAGAATCAAAGCTCCTCCTTGACGTCCGTTATCGCTCGGCAGAGAAAATGCTAGCCGAGATGATCACGGTCCGCAAGTTTAACTAGTATGGATTTTCTACAATTTCCTAACTATTTTCTAAGTTTTTCATTTCATGAAAAAATTAATTCTAAGATCACGTAGCCAGCGGGGGGGCGAGGATGGCGCGTGCTCCAAATGAGGACGAAAGCGAGGCGTGATTTTGATGAACTAATTTAACTTTTGTTTATCCAAACATATATGCAAATCATCATGTGATTTTGAGCTAAAAATGACATAGAAATCACATAGCTCAAAAACATGTTTTAATAAATAACCATCCGTACTAGTTGACCTTGCTTACGTGATCATCTCGTGAGCATTTCTCCACCGGACGGCACCGTGCTTGGCCAAGGAAGAGCTCCGATTCTACGAGGAAGGGAACACGGTCTTCCACGACCGCTGCCGCTCTCTCCTCGAGAATCAAAGCTCCTCCTTGACGTCTGCTATCGCTCGGCAGAGAAAATGCTCGCCAAGATGATCACGGTCCACAAGTTCAACTAGTACGGATTTTCTATAATTTTCTAACTATTTTCTAAGTTTTTCATTTCATGGAAAAATTAATTCTAAGATCACGTAAGCGGCGGGGGCGAGGATGGCGCGTGCTCAAATGCGAAGACGAGCGGCGTGATTTTGATGAACTAATTTAACTTTTGTTTATCCAAACATATATGCAAATCATCATGTGATTTTGAGCTAAAAATGACATATAAAATCATAATAAAGTCCAACATATAAAGTTACACATGCATCTACATCGCAAAATAAGATAAGCTACTGATAAAACATAAGAGGATTAAGTTTGTTACCTCCAAAATCGAAGAGCAACACCAATGAAGGGGAAGAGAGCAAGAACAACAGCAAGCTGAAGAACAGAGGCAGTGAGTTTGAATGGAATGGCTCGGGCTCAGGGAGGAAGAAATGAGCCGTTGTATAGGCCCGCATAATTAGTCCCGGTTAGGTGGCCAAACCGGGACTAAAGATTAATATTTATTCCCGGGGTATCACCCAAACCGGAACTAAAACCTTTAGTCCCGGCTGGTATTACCAACCGGTACCAACCGGGACTAAAACCTTTAATCCCGGTTGGTAATACCAGCCGGGACTAAAGATCCCTGCCACGCGGACGGCCGTTGAGCAGGGACCTTTAATCCCGGTTGATATTACGAACCGGGACTAAAGGGTCCTTTAGTCCCGGCGGCAAAAAATTCCGAGGCTAATGCCAAATTGGGACATCGTTCTAAAGTCTGTTCTCTAGCAGCGAAGGCAAGCTGTCAGTACGTGCATGCATGTACATGCATCTATGTGCACAGGAATATACTTGATTTCATGGTTTTGAATACGTGTGCAGTTGCATGCTAGAATCCAAGATCGTCAATAGTTTCATATATCACTGCTTTGTCGAGACACGTACGTACGTACACGTAGATCATGCTTTGCTTGTACACGTCGAGTCGTCGACCGACGATCAGCGCGGACGCCGGACAAATAGCTTAATAGCATGCAGAACGTATGGAGCAGCCGTTGCGTATGCACTTGAAGCGTCTGATGATGGGCATCCAACAGACGAGCTATTACGGCACCCAAACATTCTTTAACATATTTTGCGTCGTATCCGTGTAAAATTCAGCTTCCAACAGCGTACCCAAGGACGATACCTTTTTTTGGTCCGTATGTTGTCGGCAGCCAAATATAGGTGGCCTCTTCCGTCTCTCTCCTCCACGAAAATATCTGCCCTCCAACTGTTTCGCAGGTGGGAAAAGAAGAGCTCGCGCTCGGAGATAGGGGAAGGTTCGCCGCCGGCGCCTCCAAGGTACGACATCGCTGCAACCCCACCATTCCACGCGCTTCCTCCCCTCCCCTCTGTCTCCCTCCGCCGTGCGCCGGAGCCCCAGCCGCCGTCCGTCTCCCAGTACCCCTGGGCAGCTCGCCCAGCATCACCTGCAGTCGCCGCCTCTCCCAGCGCGGCCCGCCGCAGCCCTGACCGGAGATCCGAGGCTGTTCTTGGTAACCACCCCTCCCTGCTTCTCCCCGGCGAGTGTAGGCAGGAACACGACGTGAGGCTGCAAGGAGAAGGGACGAGGCGGTCAGCCTGTTGCTGCCGCTGCCGCTCTCGACTGCGCCTCCGCGGCTCCGCCATCCGGGCTCGCCGCCACAGCGCGCTCGCGCCGGCAGCCGCGGATCCCTGCGCGACCCCCCTTTGTGAGGTGGAATTTGTATATATCGATTCATTGATTTAGGGATTTCGTGATGGATGGGGAACGAACTGATCTAGCTGCTGCTTGTGGCCTTTTTTTTGGCGGGGTCTGCTGCTTGTAGCCTTGCCAGCTCCGTAGTGTTTCAAGGCAATGGAGCAAGGACCTGGCTGATCTGCTCCACTTTTGGTTATGAGTATTGTTAGCAATCGGATGATTCAGAAGCGTTTTTCTTTGGATATCGATTTCTAATTTCTTCCATGTAGTAGACAGAGTGTTGTGTCGCTTGATGTGGGGGAATTCAGTAGCAGATTATCCCCCCTATGAAACAGAGAACTATGTATATATAAATTCAGTACCAAATCCCTTTGTCTTATGATGCAAAGAATGTAGAATGCATGTGTTCCTATGTGTTAAGATGTATACATATTTCGTGCCATGTTTAATTGTATATCTGTTGCATCAGGACAATGGATAATAACATTGGCTCGAGTGGTTGTCCTGACGAATCTGAACAAATCTTTGGGGCAAATCAGTGGGCTTTTGGTTATTCTGCTGCTTTGCAATCTGCGGGTGTTCCTTCAAACCTCCAGGTTTATTACAGTTATGCATCTAATGGTTTGTTCTATTTATTCATATCAATACATCGATGATTAACAATTCTTTTCATGACTAGTTCAACATGAATGGATCCTCCCACATGTCCTGCCCACCTATGAATGGGCAACCTAATTTGGGGTTCTCTCTTGAAAACAACCACGTATCTCGGGACCCTGCAAAAAAAGTACAGAAGCCTGCAAAAAAGACAAATGTGGCTAGGAGAGGATCTGCATTCACCAAAGAGGAAGACTTGGTGGTGTGCTCGGCATTTCTGAATGTTAGCAAAGACCCTGTTACTGGTAATAGTTTTCAACGTTGAAATATTTGACCCTTAGATGCCCAAATAACATCATGTCACAATATGCAGGTGTGAATCAGACTTCAGGTGGTTATTACAAGAGGTTTCATGATTTTTTCAATGAGCATAAGCCTGAAGGGTCCAACCGTAGCCAGATTGCTATTCAACATAGGTGGGGAGTGATTCAGAAAGCAATGAACAAGTTCTGTGGGCTCAAAGATAAAGTTGATAGGCAGAATGAGAGCGGAAAAAATGAGCAGGATCGGGTATACTTTCATTCATGCTGTCCTCCATCTCTCTAATTTCCATATGTTTGTTTTGTAAACAATTTAATCTATATTCATATTTGCAGATAGATGATGCTGTAAAAATGTATGAGAGGGCAGAACCTTTTACCATCATGCATTGCTGGAAAAAACTTAACAAAGAGGCCAAATGGTGCAATAAGTTTCTTGAGCTAAACAACCCTACACCAGCTGGTGGAAGGTCATGTCCTCCAATTCAAGGCCATGCAGAATCTGGGAATGAGAATATAGAGACATCACGACCTGAGGGTAGGGATAGCGCGAAGAAACGTAGATCAAAGAGCTTCGCAGAGACATCATCATCCAGTACGGCTGTTGAAGTCCTCCAGAAGTTGCAGGATAAATCTGAGAAGACCGAACAAAAGCAAGACCAGCAAATGGCTGAAATCCTAAGTAGGAAGGATGAAAAAATTAAAATTCAAAAGGATCTTTTCATTCTTCAGAAGAAGCATATGAAGATGAAAGTACAGCAGCAAAAGAAGGAAATTATGATTAGGGAGAAGGAGGCAGAAAGTAGGAAGAAGGAGTCAGAAGCTCAACTGATCACAGCTGAGTCTAGTATTATGTCGGTTGACATTGACAAGGTCCCCCCTCATCTGAAAAACTATTATGCTGGCATGCAACAGGAAATCATGGTGCGCAGAGGGTTCATGAGTCCGCCAAACAACAAAGACTAAGGAGTGTGTCTCTTAGATGTATGTTCGAAAAGTTCGCTAGAGTTGAACTTTTGTGTTGTGTGGAACTATTCATATTATCAGTTGTGAACTTGTGTGTTAAGTGCGAGTATGCCTCGCCGTGTGAGTTTAATTCATGTAGTGTTGTGAACTACTGTTATCTGCCAATGTACTTGTTGTGAACTACTGTTATCTGCCGTGTGGGTTTCTGGCTTCTTTTTGCAATATATGTGACTGTGATTCAGAAAGGAAACACTGCTATTTTTTTTGGCTAGCGTATATCATGCCAGGCTAGGAGAGGTGGCCAGCTGGGAAGTTATACCTGTCTGAAACCAAACATGCAGGGATATCTGTGTTGGTCTCATTTGTATGTTACAGAAAATCATTTGTACGTACTGTTACAGAAAATCATTTGTACCTACTGTAACCTTGAGAAAGAACAGAGAAGAAGCCAGCAGCAGCAAATGCATTACCAGGTTCAGATAAGGCACCACTATAGAATGATTTTCTTTGCTGTACTGTAAACAATCAAGTGATAATTCAGAGGCAACTACAGACTTTGGTTCATACAACTAGTAGAGTTCTACGAGTAATTTAGTTCCTGTCATAGAAATAACAAGCAACTAAGAACTTCATGCCACTATACAAAAGTCATCAGGCAACTGAACCTACAACAGCATAATTCAGTTCCTGTGTTTAGGAGCAAAAGGACCAGAGCATTGCCCATATAGAGTCCACAAGTGTTCCATCAGGTCGTTCTGAAGCGATGCTGCCGTCTCTCCGTCCTCAATAATATTGTGTGCATCAATAAGTTTCTCAACTCCTGGGATTTCTCTATCCTGGTTAATAGGTGGGTCGGCCACTCCAGGCCATTCTGATGGGTGGACAGTTGGCAGCTGAACCCCGCGCTCATCTTCAACTATCATGTTGTGTAGTATGACACAAGCACGCATAATGGAATTAAGCACCTTTGGATTCCATAAACGAGCTGGCCTATGGATGATTTTAAACTTAGCTTGAAAAACACCAAAAGTTCTCTCCACATCCTTTCTACATGCCTCCTGTCGCTCTGCAAAAACCTTTTGCTTGTTGCTAATTGGCATTCGTATGCTTTTCACTAGTGTAGCCCAATCGGGATATATGCCATCTGCTAGGAAGTATCCAAGGCAATAGATGTTGCCGTTGACATGGAACTCAACAGAGGGTGCCCTCCCGTTAGCCAAATCATCAAAAACATCGGAACGCTGCAACACATTAATGTCATTGTGAGATCCTGGAAAACCAAATTTGGCATGCCAAAACCTAAGATCCTCCGTCGCCACTGCCTCAAGTATTAGAGTTGGCTTGCCTTTGTGCCCTTTGTACATGCCTTGCCAACCAGCTGGGCAGCTAGACCATTCCCAGTGCATGCAATCGATGCTACCTATCATTCCTGGGAAACCTCTGGCTGAATTGACACTTAATATGTGCTCTATCTCCTCACTCCTGGGCGGACGAAGAAATTCTTTCTCATACACCTCAATCACGGTCATAACAAATTGATTCAAGGTTTCTAGGACAGTACTCTCCCCCATTTTCAAATGATCATCCAACTCATCAGCTGGTCCTCCATATGCTAGCATCTTCATAGCCACCGTGCACTTGTGAATAGCAGAGAATCCTAATTGCCCAGCAGCATTTCTCCTCTGTTGGAAGAACCTATTCTTGGCTGTGACCTCATCAACTATCCGAAGGAACAATTCCCGTCTCATACGAAACCTGAGGAAAAAAAATACAGTTTTTATCAAATTAATCCATTTGATCATGGAAATCGAAACTGGGCCAAAGATTGTACCTCCTTCTGAAATGCTCCTCATTGTATATTGGACGTTCAATGAAGTAGTCCTGCTTCAGCTGCCATTCTGCTGCAAGTCGAGCACGCTTGTAAGTCTTGTGGCCTGGGACCGACCCTCCCCAGCGGCGTTTTTCTTGTGTCTGGGTGAGGACGGCCACAGCAGCTATGACCTCATCATCGTTGGAGTGTGCTGCGGCAGTCCCGAACATTGACATTTTGACATAACTCCAAGCCATGGCCAAAACATCCGGGGTCGAGCTGTACAACCAAGCCGATTAGAGACAATTAACCACAAATCACGAGCTTGAGAGGGATTCCAGGGGATTGAGAATGATTTGATCCGCTATAAGTCAAAATCCCTCTCAATCCCCTTTCATCCTCTCCTATCGACTGGGATTTGGGGCGAAATGCAGAAGCCCTACAAGGAATCCCCTTTCATCCTCTCCTATCGACTTGGATTTGGGGTGAAATGCACAAGCTTTACGAGGAAATATGACATCGAACAAGCAAATTCCCAGGAAAATCAGATTACCTAAGTTCTGATTGCCCACGCCGGCCTTGTACGCACGGTTCGAGCGAGGCTACGGCAACGCCGGCTGCGTCGCTGCCCCCTCGACTCCCTTCACGCAATCAGGGCAGCAAAATAATACGGCCATCGATCTCCGTTTCCCGCGGAAACTTTCACCACGCGCCGGCGCGCCGGCCAAACAAACAGGGATGGGTCTCTTCTATTGCCTGCGCTGTTGGAGATGGTGAAATTTGGGTGGCTGACGTTTTCCCTGTGCATGGCGGAAACAAAAGAATGGATAGTAAGTTTGGGTACTAACTGTTGGAGTCAGCCTAAGACAATCGCTGTGGGTCTCACGTCACATGCCTGTCGCATGCATGTAAACCGAGCCAGTAGTAGCTAGTGCTAGCTGCGGCTTTGCACCAGCACGGTGCCACGCACTCCTACAGTGCACACCGGGTCGGTCCCGTAGCTCTCTCTAGCTGGCCGGCCTCTTGCAGACAAGCAGCAATGTACATCATGCAGGCATGCAGCATACGCGCGCATGGCAGATTGGCAGCGTGCAGTCCGTGTACATGCATGCTCGATCCGACCATATGGTGGCGTACGTACTATCAAAACATTTACACCTCAAACTTCGTACGTTTGCACAAATATTGTGCTACTTACCTATAATAGGTGGATGAGCAACCTGACGCCCACATCGTCGTTGCAGATCGCTTTTAGTAGTACGAAAAGGGCAGCAGCAGCGCAGCAGTGGATCGATCGATGCATCCATGGACGAAAGGAGAAGAATATATGCACAAACACACAAAAAAGCAGCGTCGCTTCCTACCAGCACCACTCCATAAAGATTCAGCGATAAGCTTTGGCCGGACATGTGCATGGTCTCATGGCGGCTGCGCGTCCGTACGCGCCACGCCGGGCGCCGGCCTTGTTTATTGGGGATGGGGGCGGTGATGGGCGAGTGAGAAAGTATACCCATCTCTTTGCGGCTGGGCTGCATCATCCACACATGCGAGCCTCAATCTCAGCTGTGATCAGCTCAGCTAATGCGCAGGGAGGGAGGAAAAGGTCGTCGCCGTCCATGATTCCTTCACGCGCGCACACGCGCTAATGATTGTTCGGAGACGATCGATCGGGGGTTGGCACACTTGGCAGAAGGGCAGCGGCGCACACCGAGATCGTCTCTCTTTGTTGGCTTTATTCTCGAGAGATCCCAAAGGAGATCTCGATCGTCCAGGCCATACTTGGCTTCCCATAAAGGTCGATCGACCTAAGCTAGCTTTCAGAAAACACTTGAGACATACATAGTACTCCTACTACTATGCATGGTATAGTACTCCTGTTCAATTATCAATATTGCATGTCGATCGAGCTTCATGTTTTGTGAACTTCTGTTTTCCTGATGGCATCTGTATGTATTTATATATCTGTCACGGACCGGACGATGGTGTGGCCTGGGTGAATGGTGATGGCCGGCATGTGTTCAGAGTGGTGGTGTTGAAGCAACAAGGCGGGCGGCGGCCATGCTTTCTGAACATGTAAGCTTGTGGAGCGCCTCCATCCCTTGTGGTCCTGCCAGTTCAGTGTGCCCATGCATGATCGATATTCAGTTGCATTTGTCCTAGCTGGTTCACTATTCCGGTACAGATCGATACACCTATTTCTGCTGCGACATTTTCTGTACACATATGGAGTACATGCATGGCATGTAACCCTTGGAATGATTCAGAGTGTATTCATGCATGCCAGAAAGGAACAGCACGGAACTTTGTCACATATGTATGTCATTGCATGCTAATCGATTATCTTCTCTTCTGCATATATATAACTTGGAATTTCCACCCATATATACTAAGATATCGTGAGCTTTAACATTTTCATTCGGCCACATTTGGTCCTCCTTTTCTGGTTTACAGCAGGGGTATAGGTAGAGCGACTAGCTCCATGGTGGTTGCACTTGGCACTTGCACATATACTAGGTCACCTGCATGCATTAGGATATATACCTGTGCAATGATTCGCTTGTTGTGCGGCAGGCTGCACGTTGGGCTGGCTAGTTTTCGCTTTTGGATATAGGTCGGTGGTAGCGCCCCCCAGGCTTTTTTGCGTAGCAATGGCGGGCCTACGAACTTTAGGAGGTGAAACCAAGTTGACGCAACGGGGACAGACAAGAACTATGCATCGCTGCGTCTAGCTATGATCCATCTCTTTTTGACGCTACTCCTAGTTCTCCAATGAAAGAGAGGACCACACCCCACAACGACAGTAGTAACACTGCACGAAGATAAATATGGTTTGGGTCCCGTCAGCTTTTCTCTTTGCAGGCAGTCAGGCACCGAAAGAAAGGAGGCATGCCATCGAGGACAGCCCCTCATGGATTGGTCTTATTTCAGGTTAGTCCTCCACTCTAAAAGTCACTAGTGAGCATAATAATGCCACCATTTACAGATGAAGCACACAAGGAACATTACTGAGAGGGACACTATAGGAGAGGAGGAGGATGCTCGGGAAACAAGTTTAGACACTGGCTCAAACTTCTACTCTATGGGTAAAGAAAGTATGACTATGTAAATGGAGGGTCTAACTCATGAAGAAGATATGATGAACAATGCTTCTATCCAAGCATGGAGGATAATTACTAAAGTGAAGACCGACAGGAATGGACTAAATCAATGAGTAATAAGAGGGCAAAAAGAATTAGAGGTCAACAATTTCATGGCCATTATTTTGCTACTTGGTTGGACTTGGTAATTACTTAGACTTGTGAGGTTCATGTATTTTGGGTTGAGTTTGACGCGATAATTATTTGGCCATATATCATGTAGTGAAAGAAGGCCACATCTCTTGTAGTGAAAGGAGGCTCCAAAGTGATAATTGCAACCCTATCCAGTTCAAGACTCCCAAAGGATAGGAGAACTATATGATGGAAAGATGCATAAGTACGTAGAGCTTAGGAAGCAGGCAATATTGACTCTATTGACGCACTACATCTTAATACAATGACCTCTTGTGCTGATCAATTTACTTGCTTTGAATCTATATCTATATCTATATATATAAGAACTTTAAATTTTCCTCCGACGCTCCCCAAGGCTCAGATCCCTGTAGATCAGCAGTACCAGGTACCGGGTCCGTTATAAACAGTACCGGATCCGCGACGAACAGTACCCAACCCAATAAGGAACAGTACCAACCAGATAAGAAAACAGTACAAACCCGATAAAGGAACAATACAAACCCTATACGAAACAATTTCCATCTTTTTTTTTTTCCTTTTTCCCGCCCTCCTTCCCACGCGCAGCGTGGGAACTCACGGTAGTAATATAGATTCTTCTCATATCTGTAAGGTTACTAAATATCTTGATTTAGTCATTGAGGATATAAATACACAAATAGAGTCTTTTAGAGCTGCAGAATAGGAGGTAGTAAGAGTTAACCTAGAAGAAGCTAACTATAATTAAAGCTTATATATCTAGAAATAAGGAATAACAAGGAAGCCCCTCAGGGAGAGGAGGACCTTCAGTTGTTTGCCACGAACACTCTTGATAACTCTTCTAGGGATACAGAGTTAGACAAAACTATAGAGGGCGTTAAAGCATCCCCTACACTACAGGATACAGGATATTTGCCGAGTGCCAGGGGCACTCGGCGAAGTCCCAAAAACACTCGGTAAAGGGTTTGCCGAGTGTTACATTCGGCAAACGACACTTGGCAAACTTGTTAACGGCAAACGCTAGTTTGCCGAGTGTTTTCTGTCGGGCACTCGGCAAAAAGTCGCCGAGTGCCCAAAAAACACTCGGCAAACTTTTTTTTCAAAAAAAAACACGCCGGGGAAGAAGGGAGGGCCCCACCACGCCGCACCACCACCGCGCCACCAGCAAAGCCGCCTCCTCGAGCCGCTCGCCACAGCGACGTTGTCATCCGCGACCATCGCGGGCTCCTACTCCGCCACGCCGCTGAGCTGCAACGCCCTCGCCGCGGCCACCTCTGCTCGCCGTCACCAGGAAGCCATGGTGTCGAGCCTCCACCGCCGTGCCATCCACCTCGACGAGCCTCGCCCAAGCCCATCCTCGCCAGCGTCGCGCGTCGCCCGTTCCTTCCTTGTGGAGCTACGAACGCCGACGAGCACGCCACCGGATCCGCCGCTCCTCCCTCCGCCACCACCACCACGCCCGTCACCGCCGGATCTGGAGAGGGAGGGCCGGGAGGAGGACGGCGTAGCCGGATCCGGGAGAGGGAGGGCGGGCCGCGCCGGCGAGGGAGGAGGGGAGGGCGGGCCACGCCGGCGAGGGAGGAGGGGAGGACGGGCCACGCTGGCGAGGGAGGTGGGGAGGGCGGGCCGCTTCGGCGAGGGAGGAGGGGAGGGCGGGCGGGCCCGGCGAGGAGGGAGGGGGAGGCAGGCGCTGGCGCCGAGAGGGAGGAGGGGGCGGCTTGTGCAGAGAGAGAAGGGGGGGGCGCTGGGGGCGGGAGGAGAGAGAAGGGGTGGGGACGGGAGGGCGGGTGTGGTGCTGAACACGGTTAGGTTAAGTAGATATTTTTGTTGTTTGCCGAATGTCCTAGATGGGGCACTCAGCAAAGTTTTTTTTAATTTTTTTCTTCTCCTACTTTTTTTTGCCGAGTGTTTTAGATCTGAGCATCGACAAAGTTTTTTATTTTATTTTTTCTTCTCTTTCTTTTTCAGAGAAAAAGATTTTATTTTTGTTTGCCGAGTGTATTTTTTAA